ACCGCGCCAGCCTGGATGCTACTTCTTATGTAAGTTTTCTGTGATGGTTGTAGGCTGTTCTTGCAACAAAAGAAGAAAAATGATTAAGAATGCAAGACAAAAAGGAGGAGTAACAAGGATCAGATCCCAAAGGGCCGAGGGCTCAAAGTGGGGCTTCTCGAAGGAGCAGTGCTCCAGGTTGGGCACTGAAGGATGGACAGAATTTCAGTTAGGGGGGTGAGGGGTGGCCTAATACAGGGCGCGGTGGTCGCTTAAGGATGAAGGGGATGAAGGGCACAGGAGAAGCTGAGGTTAAAAAAAGGCTCTCAGTGACGTAAAAGCGGCTTTGAACTGGGAAGGGAAGGGGCAGAGCCACCCCTGGGTGGGCCACTGTTCCTCCCAATGCTGACTTTTTCTCTCCCTCCTCCCAGATAGAGGCGTCAAACTAGAGGTTGCCCCTCATAATCATGGCCGCGACAAGCAGGCCGCGCCCCTCAACAAGATGGCGGCGGAAGTAGTCCCACCTCCCGCAGCCTCGGCAGCCAATGAGAGAGAAACACAAAGATTGGCGCATGCGTGGTGCGACTTGGTGAGCGCGTCCAGTAATGACTGGAGGATCCTGGCAAGCAACATGACTAAAAAGAAGCGGGAGAGTCTGGGCGTCGCTCTGGAGGTGAGGGGAGAAGTGGGGCTTGGGCTACATCATTCGCTGCCTTCTCCCGCGGGGTCATGGGTCAGCCGGGCTGTAGGTTGGAGGAGGAGCCAAGGGGAGGAGGTGAGGGCGACGCTGGTGTGGGAGAGGGACGCTAGGGGTGAGAAGGCCCGAGCGGCCCCCAGAGAAGGGAGACGGGAACGACTGGGGAACCGAAGGTGAGGGAGCCCGAGGAGTTGCCAGATGGCGGAACCGGAGGCGAGGGGACCTCCGGGGGAAGAGCCATGGGAGGTGAAGGGGAATCCCAAAGAAGGCAGGGCGCAGAAGTGAAGGAACCCAAGGCGCGGGGGATGGGAATAAGGAAGACCTGAGGAGAGACCTGTGAACGGAGAATAACCAGAAGGGACGGTTACTCGGAGGTGAAGGGGACCCCAAAGAAGTAGGGACCTGTAGATGAAGGGAACTCCCAAAAGGGTACGACCCAAAGGTGAGGGCGGCCACGCTGTTCAGTGTATTCCTGGTGACAGCGATCCCCCGAGGTGGGAAATTTTTCCTCTGGGGTACCAGAGCTCGTTGCGTGAAAATTACTTTGGGAACCTTTGTAAAGAGAATCCTGGAATTGGTGATGTTACCGAAGGGCTTAGAAATAATTTACAGCGTATGGAACGGGAAGAAAAGTGATGCATATTGAGCAACTACTGTATGCTATTAATACTTCCACTTGCATTCTCAGTTAATCCTCCCTGCAAGCCTGTGAGATTTGTACAGGTGAGGAAACAGGTTTCAGGCAGAACCCAGGCTGAAGTGGCGGAGGTGGTGGGGCTGAGAATGAAGCTCAGGTGGTCTTCCTGGAAGTACCTCTTGCTTCCCTGCTTCGGTTCCCTTTTATGGCATCCTTGTGGAGGTCGCAAGAGAGTTTGCGGTAGTCTTCAGGCTTACTGCAGAGTTCAGTGATTCTCAAACTTCAGAATGCACAGCATCACTTAAAGAGCTTGTTAAAAGTGGAGAGTTGAACTCTTCCCACACCCTGAGTAATTCAGTAGGACTTGGATGTGCATTTTAAACAAGGAATCTGCATTTTTCACAAGCCACACACACCCATGCTGATGCAAGTGGTTTGATTAATAGTAGCACCCCTTGAGAAATGTTGGCCTACTTGGTAGGAAAAAAAGGTTGATGGAAATGTGAGTCTCGAGGATAGTTTATGAGTGGCGAAATGAGATGGCGCTATGTACTGGGAAGAGCACAGACTTGATTGATAGCCTGTATTACCACAATAAGCTGCTATAACAGAGAAACCCCCAAACTCAGTGACTTCAAGAACAGGAAAGTTCGAGGCTAGAGCCAGGGTTGGCAGACGTCAGTTATGGGACAGTAAATATTTCAGGCTTTGCGGGCCATATGGCTTCTGTGGCAACTACAGTTGATCCTCATTATTCATGGATTCCATAATTCTGAATTTGCCTACTGGCTAAAATGTATTTGTAGCCCCAAAATCAGTACTCATGGCACTTTTGCAGTCATTCACTGGCAAATGCAAAGCAGCAGAAAAATATTTCAGTCACCCGAGGTCCGTGTTCTCAGCCAAGGTTGAACAAGTGATGCTCTGCGTTCTTGTTCCATCTGCCAAACTATAAACAAGTATCCTTTTTGTGGTCTACTTAGTGCCCTGTTTTTTGCATTCTTGTGCTTTTTATTGGTGATTTTGCGGTTTAAAGTGGCCCCCAAGCATAGTGCTGAAGTGCAGTCTGGTCCTAAGTGCACGAAGGCTGTGTTGTGCCTTACGGAGAAAATAGGTTTCTTAGATAAACTTTGCTCAGGTTTAACGTAACCCATGAGATAACTGAGCACTACATGTGCTGTTGGCTGTAGGTTCAATGTTAATGAATCAACAATATATATTAAATAAGATCACTTTAAGCACAAACACACATAAAACAAGGTCTTATATGGGTCAGTTGCTGAAATGTTGTGACCAGAAGCTTGCAAGAAGCTAACCTGGTTCAGTGTGTGCTAACTCAATGACGGTGACAACTTTCTAGAACTACCATGAACAACAAGAAGCAACTATACTCATGTGGGCTGCCTTAACACAAAAGCAGCCTTAGGCAATATGTAAATGAAGGGTGTGGCAGTGTTCCATTAAAACTATATTTACAAAAACAGGCGGTCGACTATTTGGCCCACAGGCCAGAGTTTGCCAACCCCTGGTCTAGAGTACCAGGACTGTGGTGGTTCTGCCAGATTCCCTCCATCTGTGGCTCTGCTATCTCCCAGGGCCTTGTTACCACCTTATCAATGGAACCAGGATGCACCCTGCTGACGTGTCCACTGGCAGGGAAAGAGAGGAGGGAGGAAGCACACCCACTGTCTTAAGGATCCTGGGCCCAAACTGCCCACTTTCCGTTGGCAAGAACGAAGATGTGTGGCCCCACCTAACTGCAAGGGGGGCTGGGAAAGGCATTCGCAGTCGGGCGGCCACATGCCTGGCTATGGCTCAACTACTGGGGAAGACGGGACTGGTGCGTGTTAGCGGATGTCCTGCAGTCATCTCCACTGCAGATTGCACCTTCCCTCGCTCCGCAGTGTGGCTGTGAGGATGAAATGAGACGTATGTGTAAAGTGCCCAGCGCGAGCCCGGCACAGGTTGGTAATCAATAGATGGTAGCTCTTCCTTATTAGTGGCCTTTGCCTTTGTAGTTCTTCCGCATCCTTCCACGATGGCTAGGTCAACCCCCTTGTTTGGGCTTTAGTTTCCTTATCTGTACCGTGAAGGACTTAAACTTCACCGGGGCTTCCAGACTCACTGACTAGGGGCCAAATACAGATCACAGGTGTCTTTTGTTTTTCTAACACTGATTTTTTAAAAGTGTTTTTAATTTGGTGGGACATGTGTTTTCTTAGTGCCTTATACCAGGGCAGATTTACCCATGTTTTTTTACCCTCTCCGTACCACTGTGGAAATTTATATTTGCCAACTTGGTCTCTAAGGTTACCTTTTGCTTGGAAATATAAAGATCTGAGATCTGTAACTGTGTGCCTGGCTGTCTCCCCCGCTTGCTCCTCCGTTGCCCCCAGCGGATCTGAGCATTGAATGTGCAGTGATGCTAAATAGCAGTAGATATTGTCCTCTTATTAAAAGTCGTGTGCTCAGAGCCAATGAAGTGGTGATTTAATCAAAAATGTTTGTTAATCTGACGAGCGCAATAAAACCCCTACAAGTGAGTGATCGCGGCACCCGCAAACAGTCTCCACTTGTAATGAAGCAATTACCGAGCAGGCAGCACTGGCTCAGGCCAGCTGTACCTGACGTCACCTCTTAGGATAACCAAGGCACCTTCTAGCCTCTGCTCTTGTGGTTCTTTTTGAGGTCTTTTTATTCAACTCATTTGCCACCGTGTGAGATTTCAGAATTGGAAAAAACTGGCTGCAAGTTTTAGTTTCTGAGAGTTTATTCTGAATAACAAGAGAAAATTATAGTTCAGATGAGAAATCACCAGCCCTGGTACTGATTTTAATGTGTGGGAGGAGGGAAAGATTGTATTTCAGTCTAAACTGATGGGAGGATTCTGGCTGAGGGAAAGGTTGCATTTCAGTCTAAACTGATAGGAGGATGTAAAACCTGTTTATGTTTTTTGATCTCTGATGATCAAAAAAACTGTTGATCTCTGATGATCAAAAAAATGAGCTGTTACTTGGTCATTGTACTTTTCTTTCGTAGCTGGACTGTTCGACCTGGTGTCTTTAGATGTTTCAACAAGCAGTTGGTCTTAACAGATGTGTGGTGTCTTACTGACATCTTAAAGGGGATAACTTGGTTAGGTCTGGTTCCTAGTACAAAAATCTATCAGTCTGGACAGCTTTTAGCTACAAGTTAAGAAAACTGACCTCTGTGACTTAAGCAAATAGGAGTATACTTCCCCCCATAGAAATTTGTAGGTAGGTGGCTACTGGAATTGGCTCAGAAGCTCAGCTGTGTCAGGGCTGGTATTTCTGCATGCGCTCAGCTGTTTCCTCATAGTCACAGGATAGCTGCCATAGCTCCAGTCATCATATTGAATTTTAAGTCAGGAAGGAGAAAGGAACAATAACAGTTTGTCCCTTTTATCAGCAAAGCATAAGCTCTCCCAGGAGTGTCCTGGGAGACTGGAATATCTCATTGGCCAGAACTGGGTCATGGCCAACCCTAGCTGCAATGAGGCTGGGAAAGCATCTGTTGGGATTTTGTAACGTCTGTAGATGAGATGGGCAAAGAAGGAGGGGTTGGGAGTCAGTGTTGGGTTGGCCAACTAACAGTATCTGCTGTAAGGAATAAAAGTTAATGGGAGTCATTTAAAATTCACTGGACTCCTTACTAGAAAAAGAAGGCAGATGATTTACAATTAAAGAGAGGTGGCGGGCCGAGGGGAGAAAATGGCCTAGGGCAGGACGAGCACCAGGAGAAAAGGAGCCGTGACACTTGCAGTCATCTGTTTCATGGCAGCCGCTGCCGTGAGCCCCGTGAGGGCAGGGAGGGCGGGAGCGCTAAGTGTGGGTGAAGACAGCCTCAGCTCTGGAGCAGGCTGCGCACGGGGCTGAGGGGAACCTGCCACCTTTCTGAGACACGGGCTAGAAGCAGCTTAGTGGACCGTCAATAAATATTTGCTGAATTGGCTTGACTGGCAGGAGGAGGCACGCGAACCTTCCACCCTGACGTCTGGGCCCAGTGGAGTGGCTCAGTGGTCAGAGGTCAGGAGGCCACAGTAGAGCAGGTGGTGAGACACCGCCTCGCTGGGCGCCGCAGGCCAGGGCTGGGAGGAAGACTTGCAGCGTGCGGAGACCGTTCAGGGGCCGCTGACCGGTAAATGAGCCTCGCCTGCTGCCAGGCAAAAGCGACAGGTCGCCGTTGGGCAGGCGATTTCTCTCGGCAGCCTGCGTCTGGCTCCGCGCCACTTGACGGGGTCAGGAGACTAAAACCTCATTACCTAACGCGGCTGGATGTCGGCATGTGTGGAGTGGCTGTTTGCCAGCATCTTAATTAA